TGTGCCTGCCTGTGATGAGGAGATTGTGAATAAAGAATTAATATTGGTCGTATTTAAAATAAACATTTGCATTTGAATGTTAGGTGTGCATCAGGGAGCGTCATCAGTGGTGCGCGAGATGCGGTGATAATGTTGTAAGTGACGTTGTTGCCTTTTAATGTTTTGTTAGTCTAGCCCACGAGACGCGCCACTGCTGTGTTATTCATTCAAAATATTAGAGAAATATAGAAGCTTAATGTGGAGAAGATCTTGAATGGGTTCAAACCGAAACCAAGCCATTCACACAGAACGCATATTCAGCGCATTTTTTAGACGGACAAATATGACTGCTGCACTCGCGTCTCACAGAAGAGATGTATAGAAAACCGGCTCTTTGGATTAAGCAATGCATAAATACATGATGCTGTTTTGTTCATAATTGTTTATGCAATTTTGAAATTATATTTGATTTTTATGAGTTAATTTAGATGTAATGCACGTTTTTATAGTTACTTCCTTGCGTTGACAATTTAAATGTGCTGCATTATTTTGCTCTTTGCACCCTCCTGTGGCCTGGGGAGACAATTAGACCTATACAATAAAGACCTATTTAATATGCATATAAAACATTAAAAGATTAACTTCAGTGGCCTCTAACAACAAATTCAGTAACTTTAAATACCAAAAAAAAAAAAAAAAACATTAAGAAATAATAAAGAAACAATACACCAAAAATGTATAAAGTAAACATTTTAAAAAGAATAAAGTGTAAAAGAACAACTAGGCTATATATGTATATGTATATATATATAAATAACTCACCCTCATGTCATTCCAAACCTGTACTCAACAATTCGTCTCCTCCGCATCACCCTATAGCATCATTTGGGAGAGTATCACATATGTAAACAAAGTATGCAAAGTATGTATGCGGATACATTGTTTACGTTCAGATCAAAGCGTAAACAATGTAAACAACGTATCCACGTACATATGTTGCTTACGTTACATACGTGGTTTCAAAATGGCGCTTTAGGGTGACGCATAGATGAATTGTTGAATAAAGTTGTTATTTTAGATTTCTTTGCACACAAAAAGTATTCTCGTAGCTTTGTAAAATTATGGTTGAACCACTGATGTCACATGGATTATTTTAATGATGTCCTTGCTACGTTTCTGAGCCTTGATCGTTTTAGGACCTTTGCTGTCTATGGAGGGTCAGAGAGCTCTTGGAATTCCTCAAAAATATCTTAATTTGTGTTCCGAAGATGAACAAAGGTCTTACAGGTTTGGAACGACATGAGGGTGAGTAATTAATGACAGAATTGTCATTTTTGGGTTTAATTGTCCATTAAGGTAAGCATTTACATACATTTGATACAATCTGAAAAGAAAAGCAAACCATTTATGGCTCTTTTTGGCATTATATTACATATACAGTACTGGCTTTAATTTAAAGTTTTTTTGAATTTGCTGATAATGGGATTACAGAAAATTTTTCTGCACTGATTTTGTTCCATCAAACAAGGTCTTTAACTAAGACACCAATACAATAAACATTCTTGCAGGCCAAATGAAATCATCCATCCAACAAACACAGAGGCAATTTGGCCACCGAAATGAAATCAGACATTTGCAAAATAAAAAAAATTCTCTTGAACCAAGGATCTTACATAAGGTTTAGATATTGTAGCCCACAACATGTTTGCCTTTATTGTAGCACCCCCATTGGCTGTCCTTGGAGAGTCTAAGAGACGGAGTAGTGAGGTATAATAATGACATTCCACCTGGTTTCAAGTCTCTAGGCCTTACAATTCAGGGCTCCATACTGTGACCAAATGGTCGCATTTTCGACAATTTTTCTGCTGGTGCAACTAAATTTTGTGTGCGGTCACACTGGCACGACCACCACGTTGTTCAACTCATAAGTGCTGCCATTTCTGTTGCATATGAGAAATATCAAACGGCAAATGAAACAAAAACTTAATTTTATTTAATTGCGAGTTCAGCCAGCAGTTTTTGAGATTTCAGGATTCCCCCATTCATTTAGATAGGACTTGGTCTTGGATGAGCTGCCTGGAGGTGTTGCAAATACGGTTGCCAAGTGAACAGACTTTCCTTGAAAGGGACTTTGGCAGTGTGGACAGTTTATCAACTCGGACTGCAATGTAAACAAACTTGTCCGAGCTCAGAACAGCTTTACTCGGGAACCAAAGATGATTTCGCAACACTGCTACAGCACATTGCTGCAAGATCCAGTGAGAAGCATTTAAATTTGCCGCAGAATGAATAATGTTGCTGAGAGATGTACTGAGAAGCATTCAAATTCTTCTCAGAATTCTCCGATATAAACAGATCAAACAGCGCTGACGTCAAAAAACCAGAAGTAGTAACGCTAACTATAACCATGGCGATCTGGCAGAAATAGTCGAGAGAGAGATATTCAAGCACTTTTCAATGCCTTTCAAGCATTTCACACAACTATTTCCAGCACTTTAAAGCTCTAAAAGGATCCAATTTGATTGTTATTTTTAATGGAATGACCAAAGTATACTTTGTGCTAGTGTTTTCACGGTACCAAAATTTCAGTATTCGGTACCAATACCAGTGAAAATCCACGGTTCTCTGTACCAATTTCAGTACCAAAGCAAAACACAAACACATGCTAATTAAAAAATTTGACTATACTTTAAATTTAATCCAAACTGTGTACATATTTAATTTTAAAGGGCTTTTAAAACCTTCTAGAGTTATTCAGCCAAGAATAACAACTAAGTTAGCTAAAAAAAATTTACAAAAAAAAGCCCAGAACTACTTTTCTGACTGATATGACACAAACAATGTTAACCATTTGTACATTCTCTAACACGCATATTTTAGATTCACAATTCATTTAAAAGCCTCTGGTGTGTAAAAATAGTAAATATCATCATGTCCTCCTGTTTTTTTTACCATAATAAAAGTTATAGGAGCATTAAACAGTTAATAAAGAAACTTCATTCTAATGCACATTATATTAGAGTTAGCCGCGCTTATGCTAACAATTAACTACTCTAATAACAGCGATGTTCATTTCAATCCGACATTCAAATTTAAATATTGAATAATATTCATAACATAAGCAGTGTTTCCCACAGACTTGCACTCTATTTGTAACTGTATATATATGCAAATTCATTCTCTGCCAGCTGGAGGTGCTTGTAGAGCGGGAGAGATAGAGGTTTCCCCAAGCGCTGCGCTCACAAACGCTGCTCGAGCATTACAGACAAGATTAAATGAAAATGACATCCATAATATTCTGAAGACAGTCGGTTTCCTTCAGAAATACA